TCATTAGTATCATTATGTTCAAGAAATTTATTCCAAAAATCAGATTGCAGTTTAAGAAAGGACTCAAGTAATTTTGTTTGTCTATATGTTTCACCAACAATATCACTATCGGATATATGTTTTGACGAATAGCCAATCACTGCTGGACCCTAAATAAAAGAATTTTATAAATTTTAAAATTTATTTTTTAGATAATTTACCATTGTTCGACTTAAATTGACTATTGGCATTCGACAAAGTGGCGATGCAGCAACACGTTGTAAATGAAGAATAATAAATGCTAATGTTTCACGATTTGGCTTTGGTAATTGTTGAAGAAGTGTATCAATTTTTTGTTGTTGAATAAAGTCAGATTCTTCATCAATAATCGATGCAAAAGATTTCCATAAAGCATCTGTTAATAAAGATTCCGATAATGAACGAAGAAAATCTTTTACAACACCACAAATTAAATGTATATCATTATAATGTGATAAATCAAGTAAACCAGTACGTGATTTAAGTAATTTGTCTTTAAGTTCTTTAACTTGACCTTCAACACTGAAATTATATTAAAGAATTCATTTCTTTTTCATACAAACAAAATTCAAAAGCAAGCGAACGTTAAAATATATTATTTATACTGCAAATAGATATGTTGCATATAGTTCGATGGGATAAAGTTATTTTTAGCAAAAAAATGACGTAGATAATGAAGTCAACTAATATGACATTGATGTCTTCTCATTTAATTTGATTGTTCGCTTAGTTTAGTGTAAATTAAAGTCTTGTGAATCTTCTCAATTAGTTACATCATTGATAATCAAATTATTTTTGAATGTATTCATTTATAATTCTTGATTATTACCATCCTCATCTTACTCATAATTTCATTTTCTTTATGTCATACTGTAGAAAGCTCAAGTAGATTCTCCATCTCAATAACTATTACAATCAAAAACTCATGTATTATTTTTTCGTAAAGTATTATATGTATAAAATAACATACACATTTAATCGATAAAGTCCAACTTCTTGTAAGCCACGTTGTTCAATTTCTTTTATACAATGTACAAGTAAAGCTGGTACTTGTAATTGATTTGATTCTCGAGGAGTAAATTTTGATACAACACCACGATTTGGTGTTTTTACATTTGGTAAACAAAGTGTAGTACAATTTTCTTTACAACCTGTATGACATAGAGCACTACATGCTTGACAACGATAAGCTAATTTGCCAAAATGTATACGTTTAAAACACTAGAAGCAAAAATGATACAAATTCGATAGATGTTTTTTTAAATACATACCACACAACATGTTTCCGGTATAAGAATATTTCTTGAAATAAAATTATGTGATTTTGTACCTAATGATCCAATACTACATGGACTTTTTATAATCATACCATTTGGTGTCGATGGTGTTAATGTTTTTTGTTCTAATGGTGGACTTATTATTTTTGATAATTTTGGATATATAGAAGGAGGTATATCTTGTGGTTGTTGTTGTTGATTATCATCTTGTTTTGACCAAAATATATCATCTGTACTTAATTCTGATTCTTCTATTATAAAGATACGACAAGTATATTTTTTGGAACAAAGAAAAACAAAACAAACCTGATTTTGTATGTAGAAATTCTTTTGATGGTTTTCGAGTTTTATGTTTTGCTCTTTTATGAACTGATATAGAATGTCGTGATGATCGAGCAACCGTTATATTTGCATAAGGTGATGTACATAATTGATCAGTTTCTTGTTCATTATTCATATCATTTTTATTGGCAGTTTTTGAATGAATAGGAGTTGACTAAAAAAAAGCTTTTCTTTAATTTATTTTAATCAAATAGTAAAGATTTACCCCATCATTTCTACTAGCTGTTCGTTTAAGTACACCGATACCTGTTGATTGACTAACAATTTTCGGTATATGTAAATTATCATTATCAAGTTCATCTCCAGTACAATTTTTATCGGATAAATCTCCTGTAGTTTCACTATCAGATATAATAGAATCTCTAGAAATAAACAAAAAAAAGTATCATTAAATTATCTTTTCAATTGAAAAATAATACAAACCGAAGTATATCACGTAATTGAACATAAGGATTTTGTTCAGTGATTGTACCTTTTATCTGATCTAGACATCGTTGTAATTGATTAAGACGTTCAGTATTTCGTTTATTATGTTGAGTTAAACGTAAAATATGTGAACTTAATTTAAAAAAAGAAGTTAAATGAATAATTTTTAAGAAAATATAATTCGAAATTACCTTTGAGATTGAATTTTTTTATCTTTACGTTCGGATTCTATTCTATATTGTTCTACACATCGATCTAATTGATCAGCATATGCACGTAAATCAGCATATTTACGACGAAGTTCATTATGAAATGTTAAAAAAGCATTGAATTCTATAGAAAATAGGAAACAAAAATTCAATAGAAAGTTGTTCTAAGAAAAATAATTTCAACAAACCTTGATCACAACTACGTTGTGCTAAAAGACTATTTCTTGTAAGAACATCTTGATAGGTAAGTAGATTTTGTAATCGTGTTTTAAAATCCATAGTCGTATTCGTATCCATTATTAGTCATACGCGACAAAAATAATTCAGATAATGTTTTTAAAAGTAAATAAGTCGAGAATATATACTTAAAGGAAGAATCGATTTAACCAGTGGATCTTTGTAGAAAGTAACCAATAAAAATATGAATGTGGAAAGAACGAATATATATATATACGTTCGATTTATTTTACTTTGAACAGTTATGTAGTACTAATATATATATATATAATAACATTCAGAATAGTTTACTTATGAAATAGATGGCGTTTTGTTTTATAATTTAACAGTACAAATTATGGAATTAATTAAAAAATAAAGAAAGATAGTATCAATGAATATAGCAGATAGATTGAAGAACAAAATGTTTTCAATTTCGTTCATTGTAAATAAAACTCATTTGACAGATAAGAGTATTAGTGATGGATTTTTACAAATCTGATTGTTTTAACTACTCTAATATATTTCTTTAGTTGGATATGGCGTCCGTCGAGCGAAAATCATATCAGCGAACAGGTTTTTCAGCGAAAAAAAATGCGCGAAAGTCACAACTGCGAAACATCTTTCGCCCTCACCCGCACTTTTCGTCCATACCCTCATCGAGAAAAATCATCTCGCTAAATTGCCTTTCGCTCTTTTTATTTCGCTAAAAATTTTCGCTGAAAAGCCTTTCGCTCACTAGCCCTTATACCTTTAATTGTAATCAATCGTTTGTGTACTAATATAGTCTAAGGATATCGTCGATTTTTTTATCTAGGCTTCTTTTTTCGAATGTACGAATTGAAATTCCAAGTGGGCGCCACGCACCCGTTAGGTAAAACACTCTTCCAAATAACAAAATCGAAGTATTGCGATTAATTCTGCTTGTAATTGATCTTCAACTACATTATGTATGAATAGTAAACAAAATTCAGATTGATCTTGAGTTAATCGATATAGTGAAAACTTATGAAATGTTATATTCTTTTAAAAATCATCGTATCGATAATTTTTTACCTATGTATTTCGATAAATAGTATTTTATTCGATTATCAATATAATCACATATACAAAAATTTAATAATAAAATACCAACTTCTAAAGTGCAATGTTCTTTTGTATCTTATTTGATTTTTTCAACAAGATCATCCAAGAACGAAACTAAAGAGACACAAATTATTCTGAGATTGCGTAAAGACTTAGCAAGGAAGAAAGAAAACAGTTACAGATGAAAGAAGAAGAAGAAGAGAAAAAAAATAATGTGAATATACGAAAGACAGACACGTCCGGGCGAAGAATAAATATCTAATAATTAATCTTTCCAACGTTTAAGTTCATCTTCTAAATCATCGATTTTATTATTTAATTCTGAACCACCAAGTCGTTGTGGAGGTGAAACAGCATTATTAGCTAATCTTTTACTTGTTACTTCTTCAACTTCATGGTCTTCATCTTCAAAATCTTCATCATAATTTCTATAAAAGAATAAAAATATTCTTTAAGAATTTTTCTTCTTCTTCTTTAACTTACCCATCATCAAGATTATCATTGCCACCATCTTCATGTGTTAAATTATCATATTCACCTTCAGCATATTTAACCCAGTCAGATAATTCAGGTGAATCTGGATCCTAAAAAACACAACGAAATAGAATATTATTCATTTTTTGATATATATATATAAATAAATCAAAAAATTTACTTTCAAATTTGAAAACGGATCTTTTTGTTCATTATTCAAATATTTTTCAAGATTGAAGAATGTATCAAAAAAAACATTTGTTAATTTACAACGTTTTAAATCTTTTAAACGTATCTTATTTGCTTCTTCTGGTTTAACTAAATCAAGCATCTAAATAATTCAAAAACAAAATTATGGATTAAAATAAGAGTAAGAAATTTTCATCGTTTTAAATTTATTTTTACTTGACATATACAATCTTCAAATGGCATATATTCAATACCATAGATTTCCATTTTATGTACTTGTTCTTGATAGAAATAATCTAATTCAAACATCGATAAAATACCATCACCATCGATATCCATACAACGGAACCAGTATTCAATACTACAGAAGAAGAAAAATACAATACGTTTGTTTTAATCAACTATATTCGTATGATGGTTTCTCTTCTCATAATATTTACCTTGTTGGTGAACGTTTATCTTCTTCAGAAATAAGAAACCATACGAATTCAGAATAAGACATTTTTCCTTCTTTCATATTTGAACTACTGCAAAAGAATAAAAACTAGTAAAAATAAAGCTAATCAAATTAAGATATGTACCTTGATACAGCACCAGAAAATATTCGATCAATCATTTTATTAGAAATGGCTAAAAAAGATAAGTAATATTTTTTTAGTTTTTAATTTAAATAAAAATTAAAGAAACTTACCGCCATTACAATGTTTAGCTAAATCATCACGACTAATATATAAATCATGATCAGCATCTAATTCCCAAAATTTACAATAAATAACATAAAAATGTTCATATGAAAAATAATCATGTATACGATTGATATCATCTTCTTGTTCAAGTCGATCAAAAGTCTATATAAAAGAAAAATATGATAGATATATTCAAAACAAAATCCAGAATACTGCAGTCTATGTAAAAAAACATCTGCTATGCAAAGAAATGATACTTTTTGACAGTTCATATCATAATTTTAATCAATAACATTGGTGCAAGGTTATCTGAACTCTAGTTCCGATTCAAATTTATGATAAAACCTGAATTTAAATTCTACCAAATATTTCTGCCTGGTTTATGAGGTCTCAGAAGTATTCATTACATTTCTACCAATTATTGATGTACTTGCATGGTGCTCATTATGATAAAATATAATATTTAGACCATCTTTGATAAGAAATATGAGATAACTTTAGGTTCGAATAGAAACTTCATACACCTTTGACTTTGAATTACTACAGTGAATGTTAATTGTTTTTTTTTT